TTTCTGGTTAAATAATTAATTTATAAACACCAAAGTGATGTTTATAAAATGTGATGATGAAAAATTTATTAACGAAAACATGTGAAACGATGAATAATTTGAATTTTTAATTTTAAAATTTAAAAAAATTTAAAACGAAAAAAAAACTTCCCGTAAATAAAGAGATAGAGTTTCCCACTTCTTGCTATTGTTTTTAGCAATTTTCTCGAAAATCTTGATAACTTTTCTTGCCAACAAAGGAATATTTATTATTCTGAAAAGATCAAGTATCAAGATAAGACAATGAAATGAAATGAATTTTCTTTCTTTTTCTGGAAACGACGACAATAACCATTTCCATTTTCGACGAAGAAGATGTTGATGAAACAAAACAGAAAAAAAAGTGATAATAAATTTTCATTAACACCATTAGTGCCACCATTACACACACCGATAAATTGAACTGCACTATATCTACCTAACCGTGAATGAGATAGCCATTTTTTCGTTTTTGTTGTGATGTAATAAAATGAAAATACAACACGCCAAACACACACACACACATACACTGTGTCTATTTTATCAACATTTTTGGTTCCAGGAACATCATCCACATCATATTGACTTTTGCCCGATATCCACCACTGATGTGATGAATCTAAATTGAATTAAATGGATCAACAAACAAACAAACAAATACGGGGTGAAAGACATGACCAAAAAAAAAAGATCATCATCAAATAAGATAAGATAACCTAATGGTGTTTGGTGTGTGGGTGGAAATAGCAAAAAAAAGAAAACTTTTGACGCCCGTTGCTATAGTTGGTCGTCGACATTAATTATTTATTTATTGAATTTTCATTTTGACTAAAAAGGAAAGGAAAAAGTTCGTTATTTAATGATGATGTTTTCGAGTTTGGTTTCGCATTCTGTTTCGTGTTTTACATTCACATTATGCACAATTTTTTCCGGGAAATTTTTCCGGGAAATTTTTCTGGAAAAATATTGGGGGAATAATTCTCGGTCCGAAAAAATACCAAAGTTAAAGTTCAAATCAATCAAAAAAAAAAACAAGAATGAAAAATGGAAAAAAATAACATTTCCCATTTTTAAAATGTAATAAATTCATATTAAAGTTGTTGTTGTTGTTGACAGATCTTTTCCGAAATCAGATAAATCCACGAAGAGAAGCAAATAAATCTTTTTTGTCTTTTCGATTGGATTTTTCCAATTTTGGGTTTCACCAGCAATAACGACAACGACGACCAGCCAAAAAAGAAGAAGCTAAACAACAAACAGTTTTTTTCTGCTGCTGCTGTTGTTGTTGTTGTTGTTGGATCGAATCGAGAATCGAATAAATTGAATGAGAAAACAAAACGAAAACGAAAAGCAATATAATAAATGAACAAAGTATGCATGTTTGATGATATTTTGCAACCAGAGCAGCAGGAAGAATTTCAAATGAAAATTACAGGTTTCACACTTTTTTTTGGAATTGTCCGCATTGTGAATATATATAGATAGCTGGGTTTATAGATGCACAAGATACAAAAAGTGAAAAAGAAGAGAAAATGAATGTAAAGTAAACAAAAACAAAAACACAAATCACATCACCTAAAATGTGTAATGTAATTTCTTTTTTTTCGTTTCGTTGTTCGTTGTTCGCTGTTGGTTATAATAAAAATCAAATCAAAATCCCTAATGAATCGAATAATTTCTTTTCTTTTTTTTTCGTTGTTCGCTGGTTTTTTTGCGGGTGATTTGCCATATGTTCTGTTGCTTGCTTGTTTTTTTTTTGGCTGGAAAAACCGAATAAAAAACATTAATGATAATCGATTTGATTGCTACCTGAGTTTCAAATTTACAAATTAATTTGATTTCAAATTTTCTTGAAAAAACAAAACAAAATTCGAACGGAAGGAAAATTGCGAATGTTTATGGTTAAAATCGAATATTTGGAAAACAATCGATTGTCCAGGTTAGAAATAATCGATTGTTTCGATTCGATTCGAATGTTTTTTTTTTGTAAACCGGTTTTTTGTTGACCAGCGATGACCACACACAGAACGAGCAACTTGACCAAAATATTTCAATCCAAAAATATTATCCATGTGTTTTTTTTTGAAGAAAAAACCCAAAACAAAACAACGGCGAAAAAAAATGGTTAAACAACAACAACAACAACAATTATTATGTTTAGATCGTTTGATACAAGATCTACAACAATTAAATAATGATCATCAAACAGCTGATGTTATTTTTATTGTTGATAATAATCATCATCATCATCAACATTCGAATGAATCGAATAATAAT